ATATATATATATATATATATATATCTCTCTCAATTTCTTATATCACCAACCTCAAAGGCAATTGTTTTTATGGAAAAGGAAATGCATGCAATTAATGATGTTCAAGATAAGGGTGCTTTTGATAGTTAAAGGATTTTTTAACTACATAAAATTATCCAACTTTTGTGGGTTGTTCAACTTTGAAAATTTTACACGTAAATACCCAACCTCACGAAAAACATACAAAGTAGACTCTCTGTTAGTTGGACTAATACTCAATCTGTTAACTAATTTGTATGTTTTTGGCGAGGTTGGGTATCTACGTGCAAGATTTTCAAGGTTGAGCGCTAGTTTGAAATAATCCCTAAAAGTTAGGTTAGTTTTATGTAATTAAACCAAAAAATTATAATATAATGTGTATTAGAATACTAAGAATTACTTAGAAGTATGAAAGAGCCATAAAAGTTGTATGTGAATCATTGTTGTACTATGATACAAAGAGAAGGAAGAGTGATTAGAAGAAACTTGTTTATGGACATACTGCCTATCGACCCCTATAAACCCTAAAATGAACCTATTCCTATCTAATGCCAGATTCTTAATTGTCACATTAGGCCCTTTCTCAGTAGGACAACTAGTATGACACTTCCTACCTAATGTTAACCATATAGGGAGGGATCTAGTATCCACGTGGACACATTTTTGTTCGGGTGCTTTGTTGTTCTGAAACACTCCAAGACTTTGTCATTGATGGATTATGCGATGCACACACACATAAACTCCTTGAAAATAAAACACACGCACACCACGAAGAGAGTAAGCAAACATACAATAAGACAAAGATTTATAGAGTTTTGGCCTTATGCGTACGTCCTCTTTAGTGATTCCCTCGATAAATTTCACTAGAAGAATAGGAACCACTTTGGTTACAACAAGAACCCCCTTAGCTCTCTATCCTCTCAAAACCTAGGTCTTAATTTCTCTCAAACCTTTTGCTGCCCTTGTAAACACTTAAGAATTCACCATTGAATTTTGTCTTGTCTTTCTCTCTTGAATTGTCCTCTCTTACTTTTAACCTACCCTTAAAAATCATATTTATAATGCACATGAGTTTAATTACAAGTTAATTAGGAATATGAAATCAAAACCCTATTAAATTGGGCTAGAAATTCTCAAAATAATAAGAAACCACGTTGAAACACCCCAAAATGTCAAAACTGCATTCAACCTTGTTCACGTGATGACCGGTTGTCGGGAGTAGATGATCGATCGCTTTGGAGCAGAAAACAACCTTGAGCTCTCGGACAAAACCGACCGGTCGCTTGCACTGGAACTCCTCTTGTTGAGACTTCTTCTCCTTTTCCCGCTGCTCCTCCTTGCAACCTTTTGTTTCCGCTTCCTCCTCCGCATCTATGGTGAGCCAAACTTCAACATGCTTAGCCTGAAACCAAATGAGGAATTGAGGTTTGGATTTTAAGCTCTAGATTTGAAGTTTGGAACTTGGGATTTGGGTTTGAGGTTTAGGTTTGGGTTTGCTTTTATGATTAATGTACGTATTACAAGTATTCATTTTATGTTAGGCTTGATATTATTTGCAATTTTTTATATGTTATAAAGAAAAATATAAGATTTAATTGGTAAAACAAATAAATGTGAGACGACGTGAGATGAGCTTGAGTTTACATGTTTGGACATGATAAGTTAATGTATCAGGTTTGAATTTATGATGTTTAATACAAGACATGAACACAAAACTAACACGGTAAAACACAACAGGTTAGCCATGCCTGCAGTGAATACACATGACCTTAGTCAAATTGAATTCTTTCCAAAACTCCTAAATTCCACATCAATTACACATCGGACAATTGATCCCCCCCAAAAATAAAATACATACACACACATCCGACAATAAGAAAATGTTGTTTTTCCATATGTAAGAAGATTGTAACTGTTTCTGTTTAGGTCTTTCCCACGAGTTATTTAGAATCTCACCTTCCAAGCCCTTTAGAAAATTTTATTACACCGTGTCACTTGTGTATGCTACCAAATCCAAAAAGAAAGGGATTTGTTAGTCCATACATCCCTCCCCCTGAGTGACCTTATTAATTGTTTATTTGTATAAAATGCTAAAATGATCACACAATGGATATGCAATATGAGTGTATGTTAGAGTAGGGAAAAATAAAAATAAAAGTGAGGTGAATAGAGAGAGTTCATTGATTCATAGTCTGAGTAAAATGTAATTACCATAAGTTTTTAGGTCAAATGTTACTTATAGTCGATGTTTGGTAATTGGAATTGGATTAGATTATGATGTAAAATTAGATAGCAAACACATCATTAAGAGATTAGATTAACATAAATATGCTATTACATGGCCTAGTAAGATTATATATACAAAAATGCTAGTCATACCACATTTATATACCACATTGTGTACCACCTATGCAAATATGGTATGCCTAGCATTGTTCTTATATATAACACGAGGACTACAATAAGGGGTAATAGTGAGGGGTTATAATGAGAGGTTCCTTAATAGCCATCCAATCAAGTGTATAGTTGTTATTGAACTGCTAGATTGAACCCCATCATTATAACCCCTCAACATAGTCCCTCATTATAGATATAATCCAATCCAAATTTAACCCCAACCTTTTGGTGGGATTCATAAGCCTACGACATTTGGGCTTATATAGTCCTACTCACCAAATGGTTTTGAGAATCATCTCTAACTCATTAAACATGTCAAACGAAAATGTACATATTGACTAATCCAAAATGTATATTTTACCTTTGCACGTTGTCAGCACGTCGCTCACATCACTAGATTTAAGGTATGTTAAAGAAAGATATAAGGACCAACTTCCAAATTTTTTCCATGTTTAAAGTAAAAGATAGATTATTGATGAATGACCCTTATTCATGAAGGTAGGAGAGGAAAAGTTTCCTTAATGACTAATCCATCTTCTAGCTTCAACTTGACCAAAGTTTGAAAGTTGGCCTCCATTTCTTACTTCAACCTACCTTAAATCTAGCGAGTCATCCAATACAATATAATCCTAGACACCAAACGTGACCTAATCTTCTAGGTCTTATGCTCCATCTAGGGGGTATGATCAAGATCAAGCACTTTCAATATACTAATCCATTTTGTCAACAAATTGGGACTTTTCTTTCTTGATCAACCTATACAATATTGTGACAGTTGATCTCTTGAAAACTTCCTACCATGGTTTTTTTTTCTGATTCAACAATGCATCGACTCAAGTTTTAGCTAATCCCACGCTTGATCCAATAAACCCTCTCCTAAGTAAGAAGAATTAGATAAGCCCCACTTCAGTGCTCAACAAGAGGGAAGTGGTCTCTGCCCCTCCTCTCTTCTCCTATTTTTCCCCCTCTTCTTTTCTCCTCTTCCTTTTCAACTCCTCTATTTCTCTATTCGAATTTCTAGGGTTTTTTTTGTGTTTGGTTTTCATTATTATTTAGGTTCTTGGGTTGCAGTGGTTTCCATGGTGTTTACCCTGTCCCCGTTGTTGTGGCAGGAACTGTGGTAGCGACGAAGGTTTTTTGTTTTTGTTTGAGTCAACCTTTTTTCAAGATTGTGGGTTTGGGTTGGTTTTGTTTGGTGAGTTATTTGGTGTTGAATAAGAGCATCAACTCTTTCGAGTTTGATGCGTGTTTATGATCTTTCTACTAGAGAGTTTACATTGTGGATGTTATACGTGATTTTTCTAGACATGCTTTTATGCCAAATTCTTTGGTCGTGTGGCAATGGAAGGTATACTGTATGAGTTTAATGTTGTCATTGGATCCCTCCATATTGGTTATAACCTCTTTGTAGGTAGTGGTTGTAACCCCTTTATGGGTAGCGGTTGTAACCCCTTTATGGATAGTTCTAGTGGCCCTTATAGCTATTGTATTTATATTGGCCTCGTGGAGTAATTTATGAATGCAATCTCCCTACCTTTTGACCCCAAAAAAAATAAAAATAAAAACCCTCTCCTCTTGTCCATCAAGTTCAAAATAATATCCACACCTAGAGCCTACTGTCATGTGTAACCCTAATCTAGACTAACTACTCTTACAATAGAGCAATGTCTTGTCCTAATCTTAATCCTTGACTCAAACCTTCAATCTTTATGCACTTGAGCCGCCATGTTGCTCCAGACACAGATATCAATGCTAAGCACACCCATACTCCTTAACCTCTGATGTTTTCTTATAAATACATACATGTCATGAAATTGCGTGATGTTCAAACTACCTACACACAAAAAGCACCCTATTCCCATGTCCAGCCAAGAAAGAAATTTATCCCAGACCAATCTCTTAAGCCCAAGCCTAGGTCTAAAACAGTCTTGTCCGAATTTTGATCATCTTGACTTCCTCATCTTCAGTTGTAATTTACTCAAGTCTCCAAGTTGCCCCAAACACTTAAACATACCCATGTACCCATACTTCTAAGCTTTCATTATCTACATCCATGTCATGAATTTACCAAAATGTCTCACATTAAAGTTCACTCATACAATATTTTGTTTTTCTCTTTCAACCTCGGAATATTTTGATCAACCAACTATATAGCCTTAAAACAAATGTGTTTTATATATGATATCTCATTCTGATATTAAAGTCTAGATTTCTGCTTAATTTTGATGTCAGTCGACTAGTAGATGTCTGTTGACCAACGTGATGCTTATAACTATATGAAGCACAGTGCTTCTATCAGCTGCAACTTCAAAGTTGAAATGATGTTGGTTGTAATCAAATAGCTAAAAAATTTCTCATCTAGTTGATTTTTTGCATGAACGATTCTCCAAAAAGAACATAAAAAGAGAACGGGTTCAATCATTAGCCCCGTCGAGGGTGAGATGTTCAAGTTTTTCTTAAACAATGACATACTCAGTTCAAGCTTCTTGTATGCATATGCGTGCTCAGTTGAAGCTTCTTGTGCATGCGTGTGTGCTCGCTGGGTCAACATAAGTACAAGGTTGATTCGTGCTCTAATGTGGGTCTAACAAAATAAATATTTATGTTGCTAGATACGCATGCTGATATGAATAAAAAATCATGTTGTTGACTTAAGAAGCAAACACTTCAACCTGATAAACTTCCACTGATATTTTTGTTGAAACTGCAGCATGTAGAAAAGCAATATAGTTGAAAACTGATGAGCCCGTTCGGAATCAATATAGAAACTGCTGACACGGGTGCAAACAAAAAATACGGGCAGAATATTCCTCTCCAACAACATTTGCCTACAACCTCGTTCTCCTCCTCATCATCATCATTTTCAGAATCACAATCCAAGCCATAAATCCTTTACGATATCATCATCACCCCCCTATTATCAGCCTCATCCAGAATCATTTTAGTCAGCTGTTAGAATCTAGTTTTAAGAATTTACTAACAGACAGTCATAGAGACACTTCCAAACTCAGTTCCCACCTGTGTCCTGATTCAATCCACTGCAATAATACCTACTCTGGAAATTCCCATTCAACTCTAAAGTGCCACGCAGCTGTATCGCTTGAACTGACATTAGTAACCGGGCAAGCTCTTGTAGACATAGTTCAGAAAATATGAAAGCAAGGCTCTTGATCATTGATAAATATGCAGTTCCAAATACAGGCTTTATTCTTGTTATGTATCAGCAATACTTGATATGCAAATGAGTGAAACAAGCTAGTATGAAATCATAGAGCAGCTAACTTACAAGGGGAAAAAAAGGAGGGAAGTACAGAGTTGTTAAATGTTTTATATAAGTAGTTCTTATGTCACATATTCAGTTATGTCGAATGGTCCTAATTCTTGAAGAAACTGAATTTAGAGATTAGAAAGTTGATTGGCTAAAACAAGTTAGGATGGGAAACAGATACATATCTCTTAGTTCCCTACTTCAAACAATGTCCGCTTGAACATCTGAAAACCATAGATTTACCAGATATCACAGCTTACAAGATATATTATTTCGGGGGAGTAGATTAACAGTATATAGTCTAAAATGTTATCATGATATGTTGGTTTTCTTTTGTTACATGTCCGTGAGCAGCTTCTTGAAAATACATTCCTAATTTTTTTGTACCAAGTTAACCAAAAGCAAAGAGTGTTTCTGATAAAACTGAATCTTCTTTACCAGCATAAAATCAGTAATTGAACGATACAACAAAGCAAAAGAGGAGCACCATCAATTTGGAAATCCAACTTCTGAGATTAAGGTATTCTTCAGTTCTGAGTCCTGCATTTTTTTCTTTAATAGTTTATCTTCAAGGCGTATTTAAAATATGAGTCTTCAACGTGCTGTTCAGTATTACAAATAGATTATCTGGCATGATAAACCAATCATGAAATCATACAGCAATATATGCATTGACTCAGACATATATATATATTTATATCTGTAAAGTTATCTCATTCTATAAATTTAATGATTCTGAATAAAATAAACCAAATTATTGAATAAATTTAGAAATTATTTGAGAAAATAATGAAATTAAAAATGAAAACAATAGGACATCCCAAACTTTCAGAAGAAAAGGACGTTGGGAGAAAGGATGACTAAACTGTTGGATTACATTAAGAAATCAAATAGGCAGAACGCATCAAGATGTTAGTAACAAGTAAATATAATACGGTACAGCAGCCACTTCCAAAAATTTGTAGGACAGCCAAGGAATACTGGAATTGCGTTTCAGTCAGTTTCCAAAGGTGGATAAAAGAAATATTGGCAGTTCTAGCTTATATTGTCTCAATGACGGCTGCTTTTTCAGGAAAAACACATTCAAAATAACTCATAACCATGAAATATGATACCCAAACTTTTCCAAACCACAATTTACAAAAATACATAAACTAAATTTAAAAAGAAACACTGTTCTCCATACACAACCTGAAATCATGGTTGTATGTTGGAAGTTGGAAGTTGGAACACATATCATCTGAGCAGCCTCCATATAATGGCCCAAGTGGTCTCCTTTGGTGGTATTGGAATGCACCAGTTTTATGGCTTTCACTCACAATATTATTTTGGTGGCAATTTTCATATTACCTTCCTACCTAGATATACAAACTTCTATTGCTCATAAATTATGTCTATACACTCGAATGAAATTGCAACTCACCCATCCTAAGAAATAAATAGAAAATATTATTAATAACCATAATGAAGCCATACAATTGCACAAGTACATTAGCCTATCAAAAGTGTTGTATTTAGCAGAAGTAAATTTTCAATCAGACGTGACGAAATATGGTGTTCACAATAAAATCATCAGCTGCTTCGCAGTGAATAATAAGTTAGCAACAAGGTAAAAGAATATGAGAAAAAAAAAAAATCTTAGTACAAAGTTAAGAAGATACCGTTAAAAAGTTCAAAAAGTAGAAACATAAACTGCCAAAGAAGCAGTCCTCTCAGAATCCATTTTGTACAGGCTACAACGACTGTCCAAAATAACGCATTTAGAAAGATTTTTTGAATTAAAAATCCAGATTTCACCATTGTTTATGTTGTTCGCAAGCAAGTTTTGCTTCTCTACTGTCACAGAAATAACACACAAGAGCACATAATCTCAAACCACTTATTCCTTCTTCCAACTTGTCGATTAAAGTTCACCTCTTAAACGATAAAGTGATTTGTATGTCACAGAAAGAAAACTGTGATAGCAAAGGACTTCCATGTATAACTAGTTGCCAATTCAATGTGTATTGTCTAATTCATGAGCAAAAGTTAAAATCATAGTTCAATCCAACCTTGATGACTTGGTGTCGATCAAGAATTGGATTATTTTCCTTCCGTCTTGTCGCATCAATGAAACGCCTAAAAGAAACGACTTAGATGACAGGAAGACTATGGACAGACTAGATTGGCAAAGTCAATTCAGATTTAATGCTGTTTCATCCGCCAAATCCATAATGCCCGCCATTTGCAATTGCAGAAGGAAAAGATCAGTCCAGAGACCACACACGCGACATAAAGACAAAGCCCCTAAAGCTGCACAGCTTTCAAAATAATTCCATTAAAAGATAGTTCATGTTTCTTTATAGATCATAGTAACAAAGTTGCAATTTCCTGGAAGTTCAGGCATTAATCCTAAACACGATGTGGAATCGAGGAGCAAAGATGAATGGCTAACCTCCCAAAGTTCAGTAACAATGGGAATTGGGAATAGAGGTTATTGCTAAGACAAAGCGTCAAATATGTCTGCTCTCACATTCGTGAAGTTGTTTCAGTAATAAGAAATTGGTTCACCATTTCCAGGGGAATCTCTTTTTAGTTTGAGGTATTTCAATTCAAGCAGGGAGCTCTGAACAAGGGTCAGAACGCAACTGCTGATAAGACTCATCCCAGAGGCACCAAAAATCTCTCAGAGAATTTCCCAGTTCCACTTTTCCTTTCTAGACCAAAAACCTCTCTATAAAGCTGTACATATAGGAGGTAAATGGAACCATAAAAGAAATTAGGGCAAGAAAACAATTGTGCATCGCTCCTTGATCATATAAATCAAGTCCTACATCCATACAAAGGCATCATATGCCAAAATGCTAATGGTGGCAACAATTTACAGATTTTCTGTTCTTGTCAATAGAAACGTCTGTGCATTGCAACTTTCTATTTCTACTAATTATAAGAAACCAGGATGCTATTAAAATTCAGTTCCAGCTGCGTACCTGACTTTGATCCTTTAGCTCGCAGACTAGCAATGGACCCCTAACTAGTGTCATGTTAAGCTCAATTTCTCCTTTATGGCGCCATCAATTTAGAGAACTAAAATGCAAGCACGTGATGTGAGTTACATTATGCAACTGCATAATGCAGGTATAAAAGAGGTTACAATTCAAGTAGCAGCTAATGCTTGCATACAAAAGATGTTGCGAGTAAGTAGTTTATGATCGTTTAATACAAGCTCATGATTTTCCTTGCATGTTTACATTGGTATATGAACAAAACCTTTATGCTGACCATAATATCATACAAATAAGAGCCTTGTTTTCACATATAGCTGCCATTATGTTGAAGTGGCCAATTTCCACTTAAATATGTTCATTGTAATAGTTATGACTAAAAGTGGTCTTTTTTTACTTCTTAGTTATGGCAAAGGGAGGCAGCAATGTTGAGGCAACAACTTCAAAACTTGCAGGAAAACCATAGGTATAATGATTTTCCTTTTTATCACGAATTTATTGTATCATATATTAACCATGAAACACAAGCACTATAGAAGCACAAATAGAAATGAAACATTAGAAAGTCAGAATACAATTAGGATGTCTACATGTGACAGGATAACATGCGCATTCTAACAACACTTCACTAAAAACTTCATTTCCTAAAGCATTGCTCTATTCATAAAGGTGAGATATCTAAGCCTATCACCAATTGCATACCTGATGTTTCAACATTTTTTTTTAGAAGCTTCAGAAGGTGCTAATATCAAGAAGTTAATTATTTTTTGGATCATTCAACAGACCTGAGTGTAATTTAGTTTCCTACATTAGATTTCTTTCTTTTCCATCTTTTGGGAGAAGCTTTGAATTTGAGCTTCTCCAGAAACTACATTTTCACCACTACAATTCATAGGAAAAACAGATTAACAAAAAAGCACTTTATATGGTGCGAAACTGCTGCTCAGTTGTGCCAACAGCTGCACCAAATGGACACTTACAGTAGTTGGGTTAAAGAGGTAATGAAGAAGATGAATGTAGGGGAAACAAATTGAACTTAATGGAACCCCTATTGAAGGTTGGAAATTCTTCAGCAATATGGTATGGCCTGACTTTCTAAATACAATCCTATTTGTAATCGCACCTTATTGGCTTTCTTCTAATAAACTGTTCATTTCTTATAAATACAATAATAATAATTACTTGACTAATTACCTAATTTTAAAGAACAAAGGTGAAGCTTAGGGTAAAACTATATATTTTGGGTTAAATCTTCAGTCATAACATGACACTTTGGTTGGAGGGGAAGGGGAAGGAGTGTGGGGGCAGTGTTGGTATGCATGTACATAATAAACTAAAGGCATGAAAAAAAAATTGGAGAAGAAATGTGATTTTTATTCTAGAACAAACAACTATAGAACCTATCTTCTTACTGAAAGGGACCAGTGGAAGAGCTTAGAGAGAAAAGGATTGGTCATATATGGTTTTCATAGATTCAGAAGTACAGTTTCTAAGCAGTGGGCTATAGATAAAAGGCGGAAATACTAGGTCAGTTTTTTAAAAATAATAATAGGCCTTTATCAATTTGGAATTAAGTCCCAACCCAACCTTTCCAGCAGTGATCAATAAAGACATTTACACGAACTTTGCAAATGACATCATGCTATTAAATTAAAACATGAAATAGCAATATTAGTAGATCAATTTGATTGCCAAAACAAGATGTAAGAGAAAAGGAAACGAGATACCAAGTCTACGTTAAAGTTCCTAAGAAGGAAGTACACTGGAGTTTACAAAAGAAGGTAGTTCATTCCAAAACATCAGTTCTAGGTAGAGGATTAACAAGCCAAAACTAGCAGAGGAAGTAATAGTTTATTCCAAATGACTAAAGGTTTTATTAAGGAATAGGGACACAACAAAGTCTGCAGCACTTTGCATATGTTATTGATAAACTTACTACATCTATTTACAATTTTGTCTAATAGTTTTGCAATCTGGAAATGATAAAGACATAAGAATAAGTTATCATAAATTTCTGTTTTTCTTTTTTATTGTTGAAGTATTTTTGTTTTTGGGCCAATTGTTGTTCAGCTTTATGATATTGAAAGGCGTCTTATGCTGTATACTTGATTATGAAAGACCTTAGCTGTTGGAAATTCATAACAATAAGTTTTCTGCTTTTCCAAATTTCTTTTATGACATAAACTTGTGCTATTCCAATTTTATCACAACCAAGTGTTTTTAAGGTACGCACACTGTTGGCATATAAAGACGTAAGGCCATACTGAGAGTAAGTTCTAATAAATATGGTTTTATCTGCCAAAGAAGTGTGGTATTAGAGAGAATGAGCTCAGGTTAACCAAAAAAATTTTAATGAACCAGCAAAGAAATTTACATACTGCTGTCAAAAGCAAACAGATTAAATGTTCATTAAAAAAAACTCTAGCCATGTTAATCAAACACCGATATTAATTATGCTTTCACTATCACATTTGGAGAACTTTTACCAAAAGAAATAAAAGAGAAGAAAAGAGTTAAGATTATCAGAATAAATTAAATTCTCATCAACTTATCAAAAGCTGTCACTAAATTTATGTTTACAATCACATTTTGGGAACTTATGCCAAAAAGAAAAAGAAAAAGAAAGTTAAGACTTTCAGAACAAATCAAATTTTCATATCAACCTATCTTTATGCATGAAATGATTTTCTATTTCAAAGAGATCTTCACATCCACAAGTTATGTTGAAAGCACTATCACTTGGTGTCGTATTGAGGTAAACTCAAGAGAAACCTCATACATGCTTTAGCTCATATCTATCTTCACAAATGTATCAAATGATTCTAGAACTGCTCATGGTTCAAATACTACCAAATTAATAAACAAAGCAGGTGGAGTCATTTCAGTGTATATACTGCATTGAGCCCAAACAACCAGTGTAACCATAAAGATGTTTAGCATCAAAAGAGAATTGTTATGCATCTCATAAATCCAACTCACTACTGGATTTAAGATGTCCAAAATCCATGTTTGGGCCTAAACAATGTTTACCTCTCAATGATTACAGGCAAATGATGGGCGAAGAGCTTTCTGGCCTGAGTGTTAAAGATTTACAGAATCTGGAGAACCAATTGGAAATGAGTCTTCGGGGTGTCCGAACGAAAAAGGTAAGACACTGTCATTCTCTACGCAATCACTCATTCTTTGAAAATAAACTCTTTAAATGTTTGTGTATGGTGCTAAATCAAAAATTTCACTTTTGTAGGACCAACTTTTAATGGATGAAATACAAGAACTAAACAGAAAGGTTAACTTTGCGAAACTTTGGTACCATATTCAGCATGTTCCTCTTTATTACTTAAGCAGCTAAATTTAAACGTGTGTGCAGGGGAACCTCATTCATCAAGAAAATGTCGAGCTGTATAAGAAGGTAAACCTAACTCGTCAAGAAAACATGGAATTATATAAGAAGGTACTGGTTTTGATAACTAAAACAGACGTCAACTATCCTCAAAAGACTGATAAAAAATCTAAAAGCCAACGTACAACATATTGCAACATTTTTTCAATAACACCTCAACAGAAAAGTTTCACATCCCAGGTTTATGGAACAAGGGATGTAAATGGAGCAAATAGAAATCCCCTTCTGATAAATGGTCTAGGTATTGGAGAGGACTCACATGGACCTGTCCAACTCCAGCTTAGCCAGCCACAGCAGCAAAACTGCGAGACAGCAGGAAGAGCTACAAAGCTGGGGTATACCTCCCTCCCTAAAACTCCATCATTCATTATGATTAACATTTTTAATTTGCCAAATGTTGATTAAATTGTTTCCATGATGACTACTGCAGACTACAACTACATTAGCAAAGAAGATGCATCAGAGTAGGACGACGTTACTTGATTTCTATCAAGAACAAGGTTGATGGCTACAAATTTATGTTCTATAAGAGGAATGTGGTAAAAGAATCACAGAACAATCAGAAAAGGACCTTGATTTAAAAGCAAACAATGCTTTGATGTGTGTGTGACAATCAAAGAAACCAACTACATATGTAAAGATGAGATTTATATATAATAAAGAATAACTGAATTGCACTTCAGGTGCAATGCAGCTTTTAAAATCTCTAAGTCTGTCTGCATCCATGAAATAAGCAAACTTGCTCTGAAGGCTGACATTTGCACTCGTATTGGAAAATATGGTGGAATGTTTATATGCAGGTTATCAATTTGTTCAACAAAAAATATCAAGTCCAGCAGTTGCTTTAAAAAAGATGAAAATATAAAGAGAAAGAAGCAAAACTGTTGAATCATCTCAACTTAACTGCATTCAAGTTCAGTCCACCCAAGTATTGTATTTCACAAAATGGTATTTGAGGTACTTACCTCGTTCACGCAATTTGATTTACATAGACAGCATCAAGAGCAATTTCATGTCCTTATCGCAATATAATTTCCTGCATGGCAATAATAGAGGGTTAAGCACGCACACTAAGGGTTATCTGGTCATTGACAGTTTTCTTTATAATATACTATATATTTTGTATGCAGACAGAGGATAGTGCTACAAATAATATATATTACAGAAAAATAGAGAGAGCGAGACCTAGAAGATTCCACGCACTTGAACCACCACAGATTATCATACAGGTAGGTATGACAATATGCAAAATTCTTTTATTATAATAAATTTTCTCTAGGACTAGTCAAATGAAATGGATTCAAATTTTAAGTTATCAGCTGGGAAAAAAATCATGCATGGTCGAATGGAAGTAAAACTCATTAATGCTAGTTACCATCAAATGTTGATCCTGGACCAACTTTGATTGAAACAAACATAGAATTTGTGAGTACAATGTTTCATTTATCAAATGCAGCGCAATCCATAAATATTAAGGCTCCAGGACCATTACACAGTAATTCTTCTTATATGAAGTTAGGACTAGAAGACTATGCACGCCTAGCTTGCAGACACCAGACAATCCAAAGCCATTCTACGGTATTTACTTATGTAAACAACATAACTCTAATTAAGATTACCACAATCAGATCCATGTGTTCAGAATTATAGTTTCCAAATTTGTATCAGACACCAAATAACTTGCAACAGGAATGCAATTTGAGCAGAGACATGCAATACCATGTTGGAAGTCTTACATACTGCCACAGATACGGAAGATATCCTATTCGAGAGGGAAGATCACATATGCCACATTTGAGAATCAACTTTTGGTAAGCTGGGAAAACAATATTCATGAGATCAGGTATTTTATGAACTTGAGGATCAGGTATCAAAGGCCTACCTGGCATAGCTTGCAAAGAAAGGTTCCTTCCTTCTCAGCAAGTCTTAAACACGAAAACATGTTCAAACAAAAAATCAGGGTCTTCTGATTCTGAACCATTTCATTCTTCTTAAATACTTAAAAGGTTTTATTTACTTTAGAGATTAAAAAAAAAAAAAATTATTTTTCTTGTCAAAACTTTAGAGATAAATCTAACCCTTCTCCACCCTTCGGTGAGATGAATCGTAGTATGACCATCAAGATCTGTGTTCTAAAAGAGTCTTTAAGAAGAGGGGGAAGAATGTTGAGACCATCTGTTCAGATATTAAAAAATCTTCCAGATATCTTTTAGTCGTTGCAAATCTCCAAACAGAAGATATAACTTATGTTGAGTAGCATATTTGCAAACTTTATGCAATGAATAGAAAGAAAGAACTTGACATGCTTCGATAATCCATAATTTGACGTTTAAAATAATATGCAACTCAAATCTTATCAAACCAATACATTAAAAGAAAAGGGAAAAGAATGACAATAGTTTTAGGTTTCTCAAGCATAACTCCAAAACTAAATCTTGATATAATGAAAATATAGAAAAGAAACTGTTGGCACCCCAATAAGTCATTCTGCAAGACTTCCTTTTGTTTTTACAGAGGAGTGGGATCACTTTTTTGGAGTGCCAATAACAGCTCTGTATGAAAAAAACAAACCCCAAAAATCTGGTAACATGCACAATATCCGAATGCCCATTTCAAGAGGAGCAAAACACGCAAAAATGAGTCACTTCTCGAAACAAAAATAGTACTTTCCAGGACAAAAGAAAACAATAGAACATGGTTTAAGAAAAGAAAAATCATTGAGATAGTAGCAGGCAAAAGACAATGAAATCAACAAAATTGTAAGCATTTGCTGCATTTGGCAAGACTAAATAGGACTCTGGGATCTCAAATCTTCCATGAGGAAAATAGCTGTTCTAACCTCTGCAGAAAGAACAAGGAAATCACCGGAGTTAGGGGGGCACTGTAGTGACCACCAAGGGCTCCAATGCTCATAATCATTGAAACTGCTTCAAAAAGAAAGAGAAAGAATGTGCAAAGGCTAGGGTTTGTGAGCAATAACTTGCATACCACTGCAAAGTGAGGAAGAGGAAAGATTCATACTCCAAAGATTGTTTAGAATAACCGAAATCTTTGGGAATAGAAAGTCCTTAGTACAAATATATTGGATGTGGAGATCTTAGCCAATAATTTGCGCTGATCCCTTATTAATACGGAGAAAGATCCATCTATGGATGGAAAGTAACTTTAATTGGAATTCCGTGGTGCAGGTGGAGTTCATGTTGGTCTAGGAATGGTTTGTGATGTGCTAAACTAATTTATCTTAACCTATTGAGAAAGCCTGTGATACACTGAAATCTAACAGCGTCTATGCATTAGGGAAGTCTAGGGTATTTAAGTAAGGGATATGAATCCAAACGTCAACTTGGGCTAGCACTTTTTGAGGAGGGCCCTCGGTTGTTGTTACAAAATACCCTTGAATCCCACCTTGGCAATGTGATAAGGAAATCCAGAGTACTTAAGTATCAAGCAAAGCCTGCGAATCCAAATGTCAACTTGACCTAGAACTTTTGGAGAAGGCTTTGGGTCGTTGCAAAATGTATTGGAGCAACCCCGTCCATTGCCTATTTCCAACTAAGGGTTCATTGTTACTATGATGACTCTTGCAAGTGAGGGAAGGGATGATGCCCCCATGCTCTGTGGGATAATGTGGATGTAAAGGAAAGTAAGTAATTGTGTCCCAATAACCAAAGTTTTCACACTGGCAAGGGGATATTAGGTATCATTGATTCATAGGCTGGCCAATGATTGCATCTCATATAGAAACTACCTGTCCATTATGTGGTCATTTTTTGTGAGGATGCAAAGGCCTAGAGGAGAGGAGATTATGATACCCCTAAATGGTATATTGGCAATTTGTTGAGGAGACTTCGGATACTTTGGAGGAAGCCTTGTGTATACTCTGAATCCTACATTGGCTATGCATTTCCAAGATCTAAGTTGATTAAGATAGGCTTATCAATCCAAATGTTAACTTAAACTACTACTTTCTTAGGAGGCCTTAGATAGTATTAGAGCCACCTAGTCCATTGCCTATGTAAGGAAGGCACCCTCCCATTGACGGAAAGGGTGTCATACCCCAATGCTAAAAGGTAGCATAGATTCATAAGCAGGTAAATGAGTGCATACCACATCAAATAGGCTCGTCCACTAATAAATGTTCTATGTATGTTTCCCATATTGGTAAGGGGACCAAGGCCTAAAGGAAGGGAGATTGTGATACCTTTGAAGACTCCATCATGTATGAATTGGGAAAATATATGGTACTTAAGTAAGGTCTAGGAATCCAAATGATAACTTATGCTTGCACTACTAGAGGATACCATCAGATTTTCACACGCCCTCACACATGTAGCGAATTTTCAAGCCTAACACGTGGACAACACATATTGGGTAACGTGGGGCACGTGTGGCCGTTGGGCTTCACACGTGGGCAAACCGCTCTGATACCATGAAGGAAGTTGAGGTTCCACCCCAAAACCAATTGGCAATGGGGGGCATAGCCCAACTCCTTACAAGCCCTTTCAAGGTTTGTTAGTTTTCCAATGCGGGACATTTTCACCTTCACATTTCACATTTCTTAGAAATGCAATTTTTGTGTTTTTATAACTAAACTACCCCCATATGATTTATTAAAAATGTTTTTTTTTTCCTTCAAAATTATGGTATTTGTTTTTCTTTTTTTTTTACAATAATATTTAAGACACCAACTGATGTGGCAATTTCTTATTTGTTGTGGATAAGTAAGGTTCCTAGTGGGCTCAGAATGAAAACAAATGACATACTGCCACATCATTGATGTCCAAAAATTGGTGCAGTAAGTTGGTGTTTGTAGTATTACTCTTTTTTTTTAAAGGATATTATTTTAAAGAAAAACATATTTTAATTCATAGTACTACATGAACAAAATATTGGAACAAGAATAAAAGGTCTTTTTGGTTATCATGTTCCAATAGACACTTGAATGGGGCCTTAAGAAATGAAATGTTTTTTTTAAAAAAAAAAAATTAATTAAATACTTTTTTTTGTTTTTATTTTCAAAAAAAAGTTCCATTTTTAGGTGTGGCCGTTGGGCTTCACACGTGGGCAAACCGCTCTGATACCATGAAGGAAGTTGAGGTTCCACCCCAAAACCAATTGGCAATGGGGGGCATAGCCCAACTCCTTACAAGCCCTTTCAAGGTTTGTTAGTTTTCCAATGCGGGACATTTTCACCTTCACATTTCACATTTCTTAGAAATGCAATTTTTGTGTTTTTATAACTAAACTACCCCCATATGATTTATTAAAAATGTTTTTTTTTTCCTTCAAAATTATGGTATTTGTTTTTCTTTTTTTTTTACAATAATATTTAAGACACCAACTGATGTGGCAATTTCTTATTTGTTGTGGATAAGTAAGGTTCCTAGTGGGCTCAGAATGAAAACAAATGACATACTGCCACATCATTGATGTCCAAAAATTGGTGCAGTAAGTTGGTGTTTGTAGTATTACTCTTTTTTTTTAAAGGATATTATTTTAAAGAAAAACATATTTTAATTCATAGTACTACATGAACAAAATATTGGAACAAGAATAAAAGGTCTTTTTGGTTATCATGTTCCAATAGACACTTGAATGGGGCCTTAAGAAATGAAATGTTTTTTTTAAAAAAAAAAAAATTACTGAAGTACTTTTATTGCTTTTAATTTCAAAGAATAGTTTCATATTTTAGGTACAAATAATTATTAGGTCTACATTTGTAAGGATCGAGCTCAAGCTTAAGCTCTAGCATAACTCAATTTACAAGTTCATTCATTAATGTAAAGCTTGCCAATTTTTAGAATGCCAGTCTAGATAAGCTTGATTCAAGCTCAATAAAAAGGAATAAGAACATGGTAAATACTTATTGACAAGGGGTCGACTCAGTTTATTTGCATCTCTACTTCCATAAACTTGTACTATGTTATGATTGTTATCTAACCGCACACTAACTACCAAAATCACCTCCATATTTTTTTCCTGCCTCCCATCTGCACAAACTATCATGCTCCACTACATATCTTGATAACCACCAACCAAACTTTAATTGAACTTAAAAAAAATTTTGACCCCTAAAATCCACTATTTGTACAATGCAAATACATACGAAAAAATTGAGCACATTTTCAAGTCACTAAACATTATCAGTCTTCTCCCAAGTGAAAGACTTCACATACACTTTCAACTATCTGAAAAGTTTTATTAAGAAATATGAAAAGCCGCATGCGTCCTCAAGGCTACAAAAGGGCTTATTATATGCCTATTCCAATAACTATATTCATTAAGAAACGCACATTTAGAGTATACATCCATAACGTTATTCAAGAATCTAGATTATGAATGCACATTCATAACGCATTGACAACTATTAATAACGGTTGAATGTTCATATTGTAGTATAAACATACGATTGTACATATTGTACATTCCTAATGTACCTAACATGAATTTAATTTAATCTACTATATCAGAAAAAACACACTTAATGATCTGGTGAGATTAAAACAATAACATAACCTAAGAAGGGCAAAGGAACGCATCTTGTTCCATTGACCCATTTACAAAGAGGCTTGTAATTGATCACGGGTTAACCCCAAATATACTATATAAGCTACTTTGATGCTTGTACAAGACTGTATATACTACTAATGCATACGTATAAGCACATCATGAATAAAACAGAAATTTTGGAGTTCGATTTGTCAGAAATATAATGTATCAACCACAAACACCATCCAATTAAAAGTTAAAAAAAAACTAATTAGAACAAAAACACGGAACACATATCGTGGATTTCACATAGATATGAGAAGAGAAAAAAAAAAGCGGGTGCAATTAACAAGGTAAAGTTTAAAGTAAAGTTAAAAAGTCATCAAAACAGTACTGAGACAGCCAAGTTAAAAGCGATTTGTAGTGAGTACTGTACAATTTACGGCAAGAATAGAATGAAAATATCCTAATCAAAATAAAGGCATGACAAGAAGTAGTAGCTTGTACCTGACTTCAGAGCCCAAGTAGGCGTCCCGGAAACAAAATCACCTTCCTTCATTATATCCTGAAAATCAACATTCCAAGAACAAAAAACATAAACTAGTGTAAGTACAATTGCAAACGAGTCTCACTGGCCATATATTTGCAAATTTTGCAATATAAGTACTGAAAAAAGAGCTCAATGCAACATTTGGGTGAGCTAGAAATCATCAGAAATGAAAGAAAAGCATGGCACTTACGACTTTTAGCCGCGTAGGGCATGCGATAAGTCCATAATTACACGATTCCCAGCTCCACCTCCGTTTACGCTTATAATTTCTCAAAATTTTCTCGGCAGCCAAACAAACCGTTAGCTCAAAGACGAAACGGATATTCCGTCCTGAAGCAGCAAAATTGGGAGCTCGGAAGCCGTAGAGGCAATAGAATAGAGCAAAAGAAGGAGAATGCAGCCTGAGAGACGCAAGGATGAGAGGAAATTTCAAGGTCGGTGGCGTCCATGGAAGAAGCGGAGACGAACTGAGGGAAGAGATGAAGATGAGGAGATCTATTTCAATGGTGGAGGAGACAAGGTAGAGAGCGTATGCCTGACGAAGAAGAAAGAAGAAGCTTCATGAGAGAATTTAGAGAGAGAGAGAGAAGTAGAGAGAGAAAAAATATCTGAGAAGGAAAAGAATAAAAAAACGAAAGGGGAAATGATGTGGGGGAGGACTCTGAGAGATGGTGGGGGCTATGGAGAGTTTGGTGGGGGCTATGGAGGAAGAGAGAGAGGCTGCGATGCCCCCACTTGATCTAACACGTCATCGATCAATCCAGGCTCTCCTCTTTTTCTTCCATTTGCTGATTCTCCATTAAATTAATTAAATTAATTAAATAATGGTGGAAGGGAGAAGAAGAAAATCTAGGGTTTCGGATTCTCCCCCAAGTCGGGTTTTTTTGAAACCTGAGACATGTTATTTGGTCGCTCGCTGGCTGCTGCTTTGGCCAAAAACGAGCAGCTCCTCAGCCAGCCTTGAAGTCTGATGCGTGCGTAGGCATTGACGTTATACAATGTACTTTTTTATTATCTTCAAATTACAACTTGTTTTCCTTTTATGAATTCAATACAAAAAGAAACAAAAACAAAAGTGATAAGACGCGGATGGATACAACATTGCACAACTCAATTGCCACTCGACACGATTGTAGAAGGATACATTATTGGGGCATCCCCAATCATAGCCTCAAAATAGGACTCTAAAAATGTGGTGGATGGAGAGCTATTTAGAGCTTTGGTAGAATATTTTAGACTCTAAAGATATCTTTCCCACAATGAGGGCTTTATATTCGGGGCTCTATATGGTTTTTTTATGATAGTATTTCATTCAACGCATTATTGTTTTGCTTTTATGGCAAAGGATACAGTATGAATCTATTTTGTTGCAAATATGTGATCAGGATTAGACCTGGCAATATTGTACCCGTTAACACAATACAAATTTGCACCCAAAAAAAAAAAATTAAGCATTTGGGTTGATGCTAAATGGGTCATATTGAAAAGGGGTAGACCCTTTAACCACTTGTTAAGTTAATTGGTCGTGACGTGTAAATTCGCAAATACCATTTAAGAGTATGGATAGTTAAGGTCATGAGTTCGAGTCTTAGCATATGTGTTGTGTGTATGTGAATTTGGTATATTATCGCTCATCTCAATAGGAAATGTCCTAAAAAAACGTATGGGTAGTTTTATATTTTTATATATCTTTCTTTTTTTTCCTTATGTCTTTTCTTCCTTCTCCCTCAACTATTCTCTAGTTGATTTTATTTATTTAATTTTTAATTATTTATTAATTGGTCGTGTCATGGTATTCGTTATCTTAACATGTCATGTTCATGTATGGTAAATTTTTTATTTTTTTTAATAATAGAATATTAGGCAGATTAGCTCATAAGTGAAGGTCATAGGATGCAAGCATTCACCCTTAATCCTGAAGGAGAGGGGACCTAAACTTCCAGGAGCCCGTTGCCCTTCCCCATTTTTTATTAATAAATGAAGGAGAAAAATTAATACACCGAAGGGGCAAAAAATCAAAACCCAGCAAAGAAATATAGAAGATGCAAGCGCTAATATTTAAGAAAATAACAAAACTAGCACCAAAAAAAAAAAACAGAAGTCGCACAAAGGGGGACAAGAGTCCCAATAAAAATTTAAAAAAGCAAAAAAAATCTCATTAACTTAACAAGTCATGTTGTGAAGAAAATAACCAAACTAGCAAAACCTAAAATTAGGTTGAGAAGAAAGGTTATGAAAAAAAAATTGAAGTCGTACATAAGGAAACAAGAAACCAAAAACAAAAAAAGTCCCTTTAACTTAATGGGTCGTGTCATGTCAACTCGTTAATAAAAGCATGTTGACACTAACACGAAAAATACTACCCATTTTCCAAGTAAGGATGGATGAAAACTTAAAAAAAAAAAAAAAAAAAACTACAAATACTTTACAATAGGGATAGAGATTCAAATTTGGAACATATTCTAAAAAATGATAGATAAGTACCACTAAACTAAAAGTTAGTTGGTGTATAGCTCATGTATTCATACAATTCTCATTAATCCAACACATATAGCCCAATTTTCCATTAATGTTCTCTTTATATTTGGGATTGTTTTCGAAATAGCTAAAAACTCTTTCTAACAACCAAAAGCATTTAGCTCTTTCTGACAATTAAAAGCGTTTATAATAGTGTTTGGGAGAATACTTATAAGTTCTTATGGGTAGAAAAAAAAAAATTTGAGAATAGAGGTGTTGGGATGGCTAATGGGGGTGGGGTTTTTTCTTTTATATTTTTCAGATTTTTTAAAAACTTTTTAATACTATTATTTGATACTTTCGTAGGGTATAATTTTAATTTTCTGTAATGTTACGAATTCAGCCTTAATTTAACCGAAATTTGGATTGAATTCTTTAAAATATGACGGTAAGCTCTAAATTGGCTTTTTTTTTAAAAAAATATTTGAGTACTTACTTAATTTACCTAAAAAATTGATTAGGGGCAAATTGACAATAGAGAAATAGTTCAGGGTCAAGACCGCAGAAAACCCTTTGCATAAATTTTTATGTTTTCCTCAGACAAAACCCTTTTCAGAATATGTATGTAGGAATTTTCAATTTAGCATAGCTTTTAAGTTGTAATATTAAAAATGGGAATTAAAGAGAAATTGGCTCCATGTCGACTCGGCGAGCTGCAGCTATTTGTGAGCCGTTTGCAAAACCACTCGGTCGACGGTGTAGGCAACCCAACTGCGCCCATAAGAACTTCTTGTAGTCTCGAGACTCGGGACACGTGTTGGGACAGCAACAGCATCTACGGAAATCACCTACGACCACACGAAAACTATGGTATTATAAATATGCCTGCGTGGGCCAATAAAACCCTGACACGTACCCGCTACCCTCGCGATCAGTTCCCTGAAAATCCCATCCAATAGGATTTTATTAATTGTATTGGTGTTTCGAAGCATCCGGAAGCGAAAATTCTAAACAAACGCATAAAAGGTACGAAAAAGACAAAGTCCCACCCACCTGTCGTGGACACGTGTCGGCATCGTAGTTATTCGTCCAGTCATATGTCCGTATTTCTCATATTATAGTATTGCTAAAGGACAAAGATATTTGAGCTGCACAGTTCCAACTTGTAATCTGATATTGGGCGTATCACGTTTTTTTTTTTCTTTTCTTTTTCGGTTTGCTAATTGAAAATTGATGTCGTAGTACACATACTTCACATTTTGCTATTGCATCCAATACGCACAACAGCCAAAAGTTATGAGTTAGGTTTTAAGGTGCATCTTATTTCTACTGAAAATTTCATGGATCGTATAGAGACATACTTGTAACATCAATTTAAAAAATTTAAAATTTATTTTTCACATTATTTCGATCATCGAAACTTTGAGAGCAGGCATATGTGGCTTTAAATATCATAAGGAGTGCCAAGCATTTTATGGCATTATTTTTTGAAATGTTACAAGTATTTTTGTTAGTTATGTGATTACTTTTGCTCGAGATGACCAGCTCGGGTTTGCACTTTGTATGGTGATTTTGAGTTGTACAGACAATGATGATACAGCTTTGTTTATGCAGGTGGGATTGGTGGTAACATTGGGCATGACCCACATGCACTATATACTCTAAGTGCTGCGCAGGTTCTGACCTTATTTGACAAGCTTGATGTTCTGGATGTTGAAAAGGTTGCAAGTTGTATCCTTTGGCATATCTTTTTCTAAATTGAAATAAATCTCTATATATATACATTTTCCATTGGTGAATGGTATTCAAATAGTTGTTACGCCTTGTGTTGAGAGGCTTCTTTTCTTATAGCTTCCTAAAAGGAGCTTTTAACAGAGACAGGCATCTACAAAATTAGACCACTAACTATATAAAGGAGATCAAATTTCAGAAAATTAAATCGCTAACTATATAAGTAGGTTTAAGGTACGTCTTATTTCTTAATTTGTATTTTTACATTTTTCTACTGAAAATTTCGTGGATCGTGTAGTGGCACACCTGTGTAACATTAATTTAATAAATTTGAAGTCCATTTTCAATATTATTTTGATGGCCAAAACTTTGGAGCAGGCATATGGAACTTTAATGTTACACTTATTATTTTTAGTTATACGATTACTTTTGTTAGATAAACATTGTTCTTGCTTAGTAGACCATTTTAAAATACAAATTCGTGAAATATAATGTGTGTTTATATGATCACCTTAAAGATGTTTTTATTTTATTTTAAAAAAACTTGATTAACAAAAGAGAGACAAGAAGAATGTGTTTGGTTTCCTGTTACTTTAATTGATAGTTTCGTAGCAATTACTAAATTTCATGCAATTTTTGTTCCTAAATTACCCTTGTATTAAATTTGAACCCCCACTTTTAAATATGCAATGTGGAGGGTATTATTGTAAAACAAACAGATTTTATTATTGCATAAACTAAATGTGGAAGTGAAAAAAGAAATTCCTTGTTTTCATTTTCCAAGAATTCCCACATAATGGAATGAAAGTCTTCTATTCACATGCCATAGAATGAGCATGCCAACTTCATTACCAAGGAGTCCATCTATTATGCGAACCAAACGGGTTGTCACTTGAGCATGAAAGTCTTCTATTCACATGCCTATCATGAAAGTCTTTTTTCTTTTACTTTTATACAAGTAAACTTAGGATCTCGGGTGCAGTAGTAAATGCTCTTCTTAACCACTTAAGCAGCAAGCCTATTGCTATCAAATTTTTTTTATTTAAAATTTTTAAAATTTTCATTTATGTAATTATTATTATTTTATTTATCAAATTGTGTAATTCGTTTTTTTTTTGGGGTCGAAATTGTGTAATTCTTTAGTTTCATTTATATCTCCAATCCCTAAGGCCCAAAGGATGAGAAAGCCCTAAAAACCTTCAGGTTTGGGCTAAGCCTTACTTGGGCTATGTGAAATATTATCAGGTCTGCCCTTGAGGACTTCTGTTCATTTGCCTCCCAGTTTCAACGTTTCAAAGTATGCGGCCTTTTCCACTATATACCCTGCATTTTGCAGAAGCGAGAAAACGACAGAAAACGGATAAGCAAAACGGCGGCACATTGTCACCCACCACCGCCTCTTCAGTCTTCAAGCCTCTCTGCTTTCTCTTATGTGATACCTGTTCTTCCTTTTGATAGCTTTTATTCAACTTAAAAAAAAAGAAGGAAACACGCTCTGGGTAAGCTTGCTCTCTCTAGCTTTATCTCTTCTGCTCTAAATTCATTTCTCTCTGTTACAAACACCCAACCCAAGTCTGCAATCTGTTTTTGTTTTTACTATCTTTGCTATATTTTTGTCGAAGCATGGGATTTTAAGTGTTGGGTTTTGGTTTCTGTACACTAGGAAGTGAAGTTATGGATATGGTGGTACCTTTAAAGCAAACCCCTGATGGGTTTTGCTCATTTCACAGAGTTCATAGGAACAGTACAAGAAAGAGTGGTACTTTTTGGGGTAGGGTTAGTGATAAGGTTGGTCCCGCCACACCCAGTTCTGTGAGGGTCTTTGTGGGCTGCAGAACTCGGTTTCTTGTTCTGTCTGATAGCATTCAATGTAGAATACATGATGGTTACCAGAAACATAGGCGAAAGCCTGTACTTGTTGCATCGAAGGTTGAAACGCTTAGTTCCAATGGTAGGTTGCAAAATGTTGAAAATACCCCACATGGGAGTTTGAATAAAATGGATTCTTCGAATGGTTTTGAGGAATTTGAGAGTAACAATCAGCTCCGTAGACTGGTTAGAAATGGGGAATTGGAAGAGGGATTTAAGTTTCTTGAGACCATGGTTTATCGTGGCGATGTTCCGGATAATATTGCGTGCACGAGTTTAATCCGTGGGTTTTGTAAGAGTGGAAAGACAAGGAAGGCGACACGGATTATGAACATTCTAGAAGAGTCCGGGGCTATTCTTGATGTTATAACTTACAACGTTTTGATTAGTGGGTACTGCAAAGCTGGTGAGATTGATAATGCTTTAAGGGTTTTAGACCGCATGAGTGTTTCTCCAGATGTTGTCACTTATAATACAATCCTGCGTACTTTGTGTGATAGTGGGAAATTGACACAAGCGATGGAAGTTCTTGATCGGCAGTTGCAAAGGGAGTGTTATCCGGATGTCATTACATATACCATACTGATTGAAGCAACTTGTAAGGAATATGGGGTTGAGCAGGCTATGAAGCTTTTGGATGAAATGAGGAGCAAAGGATGCAAGCCTGATGTGGTAACTTATAATGTTCTTATCAATGGTATTTGCAAGGAAGGGAGGTTGGATGAAGCAATCAGATTCTTGAATGAAATGCCATCATCTGATTGCCAACCAAATGTCATTACCCACAATATTATTTTGCGTAGCATGTGTAGTACTGGGAGGTGGATGGATGCTGAGAAACTATTAGCTGACATGGTTCTCAGAGGCTGCTCTCCTAGTGTTGTTACTTTCAATATTTTGATTAACTTCTTGTGCCGGAAGGGTTTATTGGGTCGAGCAATTGACATTTTGGAGAAGATGCCTAAGCACGGTTGTACTCCAAATTCCTTGAGTTACAACCCATTGCTTCATGGATTTTGCAAGGAAAAGAAGATGGATAGGGCAATTGAGTATTTGGATATAATGGTTTCTCGGGGCTGTTATCCCGACATTGTGACCTACAATACTTTGCTCACAGCCTTGTGCAAAGATGGAAAGGTTGATAACGCGGTTGGGATACTCAATCAACTAAGTAGCAAGGGTTGCTCTCCTGTTCTAATCACGTACAATACAGTAATTGATGGGCTCTCAAAGGTGGGAAAAACAAAACGTGCCATAGAGCTTTTGGATGAGATGCGCAAAAAGGGTCTAAAGCCTGACATAATTACTTATTCTTCTCTTGTGGGAGGGCTTAGTAGAGAAGGAAAGGTTGATGAAGCAATTAAGTTTGTCCATGATTTGGAAGATTCGGGTATCAAGCCCAATGCAATTACTTTCAACTCCGTCATGTTGGGGCTTTGCAAGGCTAAGCAAACTGGTCGTGCAATCGATTTCTTGGCTTATATGGTATCAAAAGGATGTAAACCTACTGAAGCAACATACACCATTCTCATTGAAGGCATAGCTAATGAAGGCTTAGCAAAAGAGGCGTTGGAGTTATTGAACGAACTGTGCTGTAGAGGGGTTGTGAAGAAAAGTTCTGCTGAACAGGTGGCAGTCAAGATGTAGCCTTATACACAATTCATCTTTTGCTCTTGGATGGTAGGTCATTGTTAAATTATGCCTTTGGATTTCGTCAGCAACATTTCCCATTATAATGACTTCCCAGTGTCCAATTCTTACTCTTTTTCTGCCATGAGGAGCAGAATCCAAAATCAATTTTGTTAGATGCCATAAAACCTTGTCCTCACATTATTCTTGTACTACTGATGAATACTTGGTTGTCTCTTCAGTAGTGTCCACTATCTCAGTTTTATATAAATATTCATGTTTCCTTCATTATGCTAGCTTGCAATAGTGTGATAGTTATCTCTAATGCTTCCATAATACTGGGATGCTTTTTGTTATATTTTTTCTCTTGTTAAAGTCAGAGTGTTGGTGACCATGATTGTTTTAACAAACCCCATGGCATTACATTAGGCATTTTTCTTCTGTTATATTGTTATTTTGCCCGAAGACATGTAGAATTGCAGCCAAACAAAAATTCGGTCATCTTGTGTTACAAACCCTGCTCCATGTTGCTCAAATTGGTCATGCTATTGACAGTATGAGAAATCAGCTGATGCGTAGTTTCTGACTATTTACCTTCTTGTTACGCGAAGCATTGGCAGAATGATTGTGAGTAGCTCTTATTGGGCGATTTATTTTAGACAGCAAAGTTAAAAGGGATATGAAGAGGTGCCGAGTAGTTCATATGGATCTGTCAATTAAACTACTTAGTTTACCTGGTCATTGACATCTACCTGAATTGGGGTGGTTTCCATTTGCCCTAGGCCATGTTATCTTTTCTGGGGTGCTGATCATCCATACAATATTGCAGATACGTGACATGCTCTGGCAACATTAGGTTAATGTCATGTATGTTTGATGAGCGAAGGTGACATTTGATGCGTTCACTTTGCGGTGATGTTACTGCGTACTGTTAACCTCCAATGCAGCTGGGGCGATGAAAAATTGTAGTTACTCATCATCTTTTGGTCAACAAAACTGACACCTGGAAAGACAAAGGTGATGACGAGAGTCAAACTCTTATCGTGGCGAGAACTTAAGCTTTCTAACTTTCATAATATGTGCTTTTGACAAAGATGAGAGTCGAACTTTGACTAATAATCTTTTGCTTATAATGTATGTACTAAGTCCAAAAGTTTGGAAGAATCCTTGGCAAGAGGGAGGTAATTAAAAGGGCTAGAGGCCTTGAAATCCTCTGGTGGCTGGAACAAGATTAGGCGGATTAGCTGGCCTGAAAACTGGAAAGGGTTTATGAGCCTTCTCACTCACACATCTTGAAACCAATCAGCACCAAGAATGAAATGACAGGACCAAATGATATGAAGCTAAATAGTTTATCCACGGGACTGAATTATATGCAATTAATTATATCCATAGGATATTCTATCAATAAAATTTCAAAACTCATACATCATTAGTCGCTATCAAATAAAAGGACAAATGACATATTACCATACATAACACATCATCTCTTCATATCTCGGTTATCCTTTATAGCATATAACCAACGATGTGACCCTTATTGGTCTCACTGCCCTTTGTCCCAGTGTGGTACATCTATTCCTCGGATACTCCAACATTGAAGTTATCATATTCCATGAATAATATATACTTCATAAATATTTCAATCAATATATATATATATATATATATATAGTGTGTGTGTGTGTGAAAGATTGCATCAAATTAGACATGATTGACTTGAAATAGAGAGATGTTTGTAAATAGAACAAAACCACGATAATCCATGGTTTTCATATTTTTTTATAAAATTAGAACTTTTAGAACACATTACATAGACCACTCACCTCAATAATGAGAGCCCTTAAAACCTATCTACCTCGCTCTCATTAATACTGTGTATTTGGTACATGAAGAGGTGGATGTGTTGTAAGGGCTCTCATTATTTTAAGGTTTCAATTAATACTGTGTATTTGGTACTTAATTCTTACTCGCTCTCACAATTTCTTTGTTTTCGTTTGGATTTAAAGTTTCAATTTATGACTTGTTAACTAATTAATTTTGATTGATTGTGCTACTATTTGATTCTTAAGTCACTCTCAAAACTTACCTCTTTTCTTGTATTTGAGTTTATGTTGGCTGAATGTCATATGTGCATCGTGCTCTGAAGCATATGCTTGGAAGTCTCATCCTGCTTATTTGCCTATATTAGAGTTCTTGCCTGGTTCTTACCTGTTATTGGAGCCACTCTGCAGAACTGTGTTGAAAGTTTTCACTTCAATCTTATTTGCATTTAACTGTGTATGTTTTACTGCCAGTATTGAGTTTTATTTATTAATCCCCATATGCAACTATAACATTGGCAGGGAAAGAATAGAAAACGAGCCATAATGGCCAAGATAGCTGCTCTTGCAAAAAAAAGGCCAGAAAAGGATGTCAAAGTTTCCACTGTGATGGATACTAAGAATGTAAGTTAATGAACTGGTTTACGGGTTTTTTGGTGCTTAATTTTTAGTTTGTGCTACTTATAATTTATTTAACAGAAACTAATGTGACATTTTGTTCTTGCAGAGGCTGAGTTCAAAAATCAAGTATGATGCTTTGGATAAATTAAATGAAGAGCTTGTAAGCATCTTTTATATCTCTTATTTTAAACTCAACTGGTCAAAGCTGAGAAATTTTATGCTTGCAGTTATTGGACTGATAGTTTCCTTCAGCTTCTATTGGCTCTCAGCTAGTATGCGGCGACTAAAAGCCAAGCAAATCTAATAGCATGTTTAATTTTGATAGTCAACAGATGTTACTTGTTCAATATATTTTATTTTTTCTTAATGTTTGATTACTGTGCAGACACCAAATTCCTGTTTAATGGAATAAAGGTATATCCAAGTCACACAACCTATTGCAGGATAGAACTTAATACATAAAAGAATAATCTTTGGAAGATGGTATATTTTTATTAAGCATGGATTAAGATATGAAACTGTGATATTTTTATTAAGCATGGATTAAGATATGAAACTGTGATATCGCCATCAAATAAAAGGACAAATGACATATTACCATACAAAACCCTATTTAAAAGAGGTTAGATGAGCCTAACTAGAAGAACGTAAATTCTCTTTTATTTATTCAGAAGCATAAAAGTATTTCCAACTCAGAAACTTGTTTTTCCGGACACAGATAAGGCTAAAGTCTAAAAATTCCTTAAGCATCGATGCTATTGGAACCGTCCAAACATCAATGCTTATGCATGCTTAAACCTTACCAATCGAACGGCTCCAAGCATTAACATGATTCAAGCACTAAACCTTACCACGTGGTGATATTAATCTACGTATTGTTTTGATAAATAAATATACGTGCTATAACATGAGTAGACTATCACGCCGAAAACTTACTCCTATACACTACTACGCATGCGCTTATAATAAGAGAAATTATATTCTTTCGGTTATCTTCTCCATGACAAATTTTTTTTTTATGTTTGTTCCTTCAAGCATATAAATCACACGGGTCCACATTGCCAAACTGTCTCATATCACCATACGAACAAAGATTCTCTTTGGCAGAACAAATTCCTAAAATCATATAGCCGGATAAATTGTTCCTTCGCTTTTCCACATCTCATTTTCTTGTTCAAAATTAGTTTCTTGGTACCACTTTCTTCTTTCCCTGGAAGACACAAAAACCTTATTCCTTTTGATCGCTCACCATCTTCTCTAGCTACCACACACTAAAAATCCTTAAAAAATAG